CACATTTATCTGCATTTTTAGAAAGATGTACAATGAGACAAGATCGAAGAAGACCAAGAATAGACGCCTCTTGTCGATATAATTCATAATGACAATCGAAAAAGAGAAGTGTATAATTACATTGATGAGATTGCTTGAAAAGAGTGAGAAGAATTCGTTCAATAATGAAAATAACATGAAGAGTATTTCCATAATATGATTTAAGATCAACATTTGTATGATGAGCAATAGATAGAAGTAGTGAATCACCATCAATGAAATAATGTGTACTATCACGAAATTCTCGACGCACATCAAGAAAACGAGCCCTATACGGATAGAGTATGTCGATATCATTTAAAGAAATTAATGATATCATGGCTTGTTCGGTATTGTTTCTTGATAAAAGCAATTGAATTGTATCGAAAAAAGGTTGATACAAAGGATTAATTGTTGAATCTGACATATTTGATGGGAGACAATGAATAAGACGTTTGCGTTCATTATTATCATCTATATTTTCAGAGAGATGAGAAGCAATTTGTTGTAACGCCACGATAACAATTTTTTCATTCTCATGCTTAATACATTGATCAAGACTTTGAAAATAAAGATTCACAAAATGATGATAATGTTGTTGGCAACAACGAAGCAGTTGAAGAAGTCGACGACATTGATGAACTGCATCAAAATACTCTGTTGATTCTTTCGAATGAAGACTCTATAGAATTATGTTGCCTATCAATCAATTTTATTATTTATATAAACAATACTTACATGTACTCTTGGAAATGTTTTTTTGTCTTCAACTTTTTCGTCGTCATCGGATGATGATGTTGATGATTCTTCTTCAGAATCATTACTTTCCGATTTTTGACCACTATCTACATTACTCAATGTAGATACAAAGATGTCGGGGTGTACCTGTTGTAGTTTGTGATTAACCAAAAATTCCCAATCCGTAAGATACCGTAAGTGAAATAATTCATTATTTTTATGAATATTTTCGTTAAACGCTATCTCGGATGTTGCTTCTGTATCGAGTAAATAATTAAGAAAAGTTTCTATGTTTTCGTTCATTTTTAAAACACTAATAATATGAGAAATGACTCGACATCTTTATAGACACACAGCCAGAGAAAAAAACCTAGTAGAAAAAAACTCGTCGATAAACACTTTATTCTCTTTTCTCAGTATTCAAAAGAAGAATAATAAGAAAAAAAAACTCAACAAGTCATTACATCTTTTTGCTGATTAAATGTGCAATTACGAACCAATCCAAAATCAACATAGACTTTTCTTATTTCGTAATAAAGCGACAAAAATATTATAAGAACTGATTTCGTAGATATTACTTTTGTCAAGAAATGTCATAATTAATTCTTAGTAGTTAGTAAGTCTCTTTCTAGTTTTTGTAAAATATTCTTTTCTTTTTTCGTGACATTTCGATAATCGATGATACCTTCTTCAGACCTTATTAATGGTAAACGAAATCTACTACAACACACATATTTTATTTTCTTTTTTCGTTTTTCTCTCTCCTTTTTTCTGTTGTTATTGTGATTTTAATAGTAAATCTGCAAGACAGCTATAGCTGACAGAAGCGACTTATTATTGTCGCCTTCTTCTGACTCACTGTAACAGCAGAAAAAAAAAGGGAAAAAAAATCAAAAAAAAGAAAATAAAGTATATGTTTGTAGTACATTTCATTTATCATCAATAAAGTCTGAAGAAGGTATCATCGAAATGTCACGAAAAAGGAAAAGAATATTTTACAAAAACTAGGAAGATATTTGCTAACATTAACAATTGATTTCTTCGATGTCGTATAGTTTATAGGAAAAAACAGAACATGATTGAAGTGAGAATAGTTAAAGAAAATTATGATCATTAAAAGAGTAAGATTTTTTGCCCCCCAATGTAACCACTAAAAGCATTTCACTTCCTCTGTTTTAAATGAATATAGACCATGAAAGAATTCTTTCTTGGTAGACTTTGACTAGTTACTAACGAAAGCCTTGAAAATATTTCGAATCAAGAGACTTTGGAGCATAAGATTCTAACTAAAGCCTCACATGAAATAGAAAAGATGGAAACAGTTATTATTACAATGAACTATGAAAGCTAACAATGTGACAGACTTTAAAACAAGAGAAAATATGATTTTCATTAAGGGAACCTATTCATATTTTACAGTCACATTTTAGTTTTCTTCAATTTTTTCTTCCAATAACGAGGGTGTGGATGTGGATGTGAGTATGGAATTCATTGTGGACATGCTCTACACGCATACCCACATCCAGACACCCACATTCCACCTATACCATTACGTAGACACGCCGATAGGTAATACAACGTTTATAATCTTACAATATGCATTATCGTTGAATAATGCCAGTGAAGCGTTTTACCGTACCAGTAATTATGCAGGTGGAAACTACTATTATAAAGCATTTTGTATCAGTGTTTTTACAGCTGGAAAGCATTATATCATGTCCAATAGTACGATGTATACTTATGGATATATTTCTAACAGCATATTTCATCCTTCTGCTCCAGCTGAAAATTTAATGCAAGAAAATGGTGATGATGCAAGGCAATATCAATTTCTTTTAGCTTTAATTATTACATCGGATCAGCTAGCAAAATACGTTGTGGTGGTAACAACAGTGCTTTTCAATGTAACTGGGATGTTTTCAATTGTTGCCGTTGGATCAGTCTCAGCTACTTTCCCTGTTGAATAGATCTGATAATATTTTCTCTTAAAGAGTCAATTAAGATAAGTCGTGCTTTCTTAGATTGAAATGCAGCTTTTATTTTTCATTATGAATTCATCGCTTTTAACGTTCTTTACTTTGCTATTCTAAAAAACAGATCTTTTCTCGAAAAATGCTATAGTTGATTTTGGTTGGGCATTTTCACAAATTTTTCTTTTCTATTACATGCGTTTTGTGTCATCTCAATAAATAGTGAACGAATGGGGCGGATCATGATAACTTTTCTCTTTGAGATTCATTTTTTTCTAGAATTTATCTATTTAATATAAGTTATTAATTATGATGTTATGTAGTAATATCCAATACCAACATGTGAAATATCCTTGGACTCAACGAATTTTATTATTAAAGTGATAGCATTCTAGTCTACTGTAGTCTAAGCTGTGAAATTGAAAGCATGTTTTTTCTAGCAAAAATCAACTGAGTGATAAATCTTCATCGTCAATGGACATCTAGCCATTCGATGAAGACTATTTCGATTGTTTTTATTGTTTCATATCATGTTTGAGGAGGAACTGTGACTGACTTCTTCGAAATGTGGCGAATTTCTTGAAATTCCAAGAAAAAGAAGCTCATCATATAATTAGTGTTTCTTATAGATATTAGTTTTCTAGAAAATAGTTCTAATTTCTACTGGGAATTGCAATATTTTTGTTTTAATCATTGTGAAACTATTTTACTGACGTCGTATTATTGATCTTGATAGCGATTCCTAGTTCATTATACGAAACTTGTTCTTTTTTTATAATCTGTTCATATGATTTACCAAGATTTCAGTAAAACAGTTCACCATATGTCAGATATAGGAAAGAAGGATAATATTCATAGCTTTATCATTATTTCAACTTTGTTGCACTGTCCATGTACATATCTCACCATATTTCGGTTCATGTTTGAATGCTGGGCATATGTGCTATCAATTGACTGTCTCGTGGAAATTTTATTGTAAATTTCATTAAGTTAATCAATTTTTTAAACAGAAAGAACTCTATGATTGCATTTTATTGAAACTTTGCTTTCATTTAGTTGCGGCACTTTCGTATGATGTAACTTTCGAGTATATACGAAAATGTAATTGTATGGTATGAAATAACATTTTCATAATTTCGAATACAATTATTTTAGATGTCTTTTGACCACAAAATCATTTAATACCGAAAAAGTTTTATTTATTCATGAAGAGCGAGTTTCGAGTGTGAGCGTGCGGTGTGAGTGTGGGTGGATGTGGCATAAATTAAAAACATGACCCACACCCACATAAATAAAGAAATCTAATATTAACCATTAACAGCAACTACGTGAATTCCTTCTTCAAGTGCACATCGAAATACAAGTCGACCAATATGACCAAATCTATTAATACCAACTTTAATATCTGATGAATCATGTGGACTATGAAAAGAAATAAAGAGTTTTAACTATATTAGAAGAGAGAAGAACAAATAACTTACTAAGTGATGAAAACGTCTTGTGGAATAACCCAAGGCAAAGCCGCTCGGTCGGATTCTGTCGGATGGATTTCAAATCCGTTTGAATCCGACGTTTCAGACGTAATCCGGTCCGGATTCCTTGGCACAGGATTCCAACGCAAACTGGAGCGGATCCGATCGGTTTTTAACGGAAGGCGTCGGATTCCGATGCAATCCGTTTCGGATCCGATGGTTGCCAGTAAGATCCACAGGTCGGATTCAATCTCTTGGGTATCTCGGTTTCTCCGAAAGGCACCCAAGAGATTCAAACCAAGGAAAGCCGCTCGGTCGGATTCTATCGGATGGATTTCAAATCCGTTTGAATGCGACGAACGGATATTTTCCGACGTAATCCGGTCCGGAATCCTGTTGCAAGGAATCCGACGCAAACTCGATCGGATCCAATCGGATTTAACGGACGGCGTCAGATTCCAATGCAATCCGTTTCTGATCCGATCGATTTCCGGTAGGATCCACAGGTCGGATTGAATCTCTTGGGAAGTAACAACGATTCTTCTAATAATCGAATTCATGGTTTTTTATTTTCATAATACTCTTTTAATTTTTCAATTGCTTTTGTTTGAAGGTGCCATTTAATTTCACATCGTTTTATTGCATATACCTTCATTTACAATAGAGCTAAATGAACTGTATATCCACCACCATACCAACTTAAACCCATCAAAATGTTTTTTACTTAAGCAACAATATTGTAAAAAGACCAATGCAAAATTTTTATCTTTATGTGCCGTTGCGGCTGTAAAATAGTCGTAGAATGCATTTCAATGTTATTACACGATTTAATAATTGTTTTAAAAGAAAACAAACGTCATCATTATCATCACCAGTAATAATGTTGTTATTAAAATTAAGTAAATTCAATGACGAAAAAGCGTTATGTATAACCAGGTCGACCATTCGGGCCGTCTGAAACGGCCTCAAACGACCATAAAACGGCATAATGAGGCATTAATATTCGCAGTAATCCGTCAGCCCATTTTACGGGCCGTTTTTTCGCTAGAAGACCGTCATACTTTTTCACATCATTTTCACCGTTTTCCGAGCTGATGGAAAATGACCTCGTTTTTCGACGGTTTATATTGTTTTTACGCCGCCTACGATCGTTTACGGGCTGTTTTCTTGAACCTGAGTAGCTACGCTTCCCTCAACATCGCCATCGGCAATGACTAAACGGCAATTAGAAATTCTTGGACGTCCTTCAAGGTTCAAGTAAAATGATTTCATTTCTAGATGGTATTTTAATTTATCCGAAAGATATCGTAAATGATCTTTAAGAATTTTTGTTGATAGTTGATTAGTTTCATCCATTCAAAATCTGTAATGTTCTATGAGACACATGTTATTAGTTACAGCAGAAGCAGGGTCATAATAATTAAAATCGAGCAAGAAACCTATACAGAGTTCCAACGAATCAGTATCTATTGTTGTTGTACTCGTATTTGACTCTTCAAGCATATCGATGTAAACATCAACAGATGTTATTTAACATCTGGCTAATTCCTTCATATATTTGTGACATATTAAAGACAATTTAAAAAAACAATCTATTCTTCAATAAAATGATTCAATTGTTTCTCATTTCTTTCTTTCCTCTACGATTTTCATTTTCCATGTGTCAAAATGAACAGATTTAATAATCGAATGATAGTATACAGAATAGAAAGAAATGTTAATTTAGCTAAAGCAGAACAAATATTTAGAAAATAAAAAAAAATTATCTTAATAATTCTTTCAACTAGTTAGGATTAAAGAAGCAACAGCTGCTGATTGTGTGTCAATTTTATGTGATCTTAAAGTTAATTATGAATCATATTTTGGTGGTATGATTTATTCATGTCAAATTTTTCTTCTATATTTATTTAAATATTTTTAGTTCGAATTCTTGATTCAGCTTTGATTATTGCGCCACAATTATCTAATCGTTATATAACAAATCAAATTTTACCTAATAAAGTTATTGATAAGAAATATTCTTTTATAAAATTTTGATTATTTGATTTTTTTTAAAGATTTAATTGACGAAGTTTGTGCAAGTATTCGTGTGCAATTGGATAATGAACCAGAAATAATTGATCAATTAGAACATCGAAAATTAAAATTAGATGTAGAAGCAACAGCTTTATCAAAGAGAAACAGATTATGCTTCAAAACAACATTTAAAGCAAGTTAAAGAAGAGTTAGCAAAAATTCGAGAAGAATTAAAACTATTAAAATTAAGACATAAAAAGCTGAGAGTAATTAATGCTTGATAAAGATTATTGAAAAAATATTCAGATATGACAAAAGATGATCTTATTTGATATGCAGCTTTAAAATTTGTTTTTTTTCTGTCTGTATTGATGATTGTATAGTAAATACTTTTCGTAATTCTCGTCAAGTTCGATCAAATATTAAATAAATTCTCCAGGCGAGCAAAGGGCGGGTAAAAAGACTAGTCATTTTTCTAGTCGTGACTATGCGTCATGTCTAGTCTTTTTCTCAAAAAGTCCTACTACATGACTAGTCCAAAATGGTTTGGAATCTTTAACCCCGTCTGGGCATCCCGTCCGAAAATAGATTTTAAATTAAAAAAGACAGAGCGCCTGTGACGCGACATCTATTAGGTTTCAGTCTTATGTAGCGGTCTAGTTCGGACTAGTCTAAATGATAGAAATATGTGCAGAAAGTTAGATTCATACATGCATGCCTTGTGTTACTTGCTCGTCGTCTATCCGATTGAGCCATATGATCTAGTGATCAACTTTTACATGTCAATACACATCTGAAGACACTAATTACTACAGTTTGACTCGGCGTTTTCTCAAGTTTTAATATTTATAGAAACTACTTGTAATAAAATCGAAAATTAGTTAAATAAAACTAAGCAAAATTAATTCAGAATTTTATTAATTTCCTTCAACAGAATTTTTTTTGATTATCGACATTTGGAAAAAATTATTTTCTATTGGAAAAAACAATTAAAATTTAAATCAAAATCAAAATAATAATATATATTTCAAAAAAAGATCTTGCTTTTCATCTGATGGTTTATGTTTATCTTAATTCAAAATATTTTCTATTTAAATTTGAAAATGAACTATGATTCTACCGTTTAAATCCATTTTTAAATTCAAATCATTAAGTTTTATATTGAAATAAAATAATATTCTCATATCAATGCATTAAAACTAATTTTTCGAATAAAATTATTCTTGATTGTTATTACAATGTAAAAATTTAAAAGGACATAAATAGCCAGCTCTCGTTAGATACCTGGTTCTAGTCCCAATACAAACTAGTCTAAACGAATTGCCCGAATGATTAAGTCCAAGCAATAAAGACTGTTTGGAAGGATAGACTAGCCTGGACCAGAATTGGGATTACTTTCTCGAAAACGACTAGTCATGACCAATATAGATAACTCTTCATACTAGTCCGTGTTACCTATTGAAAACAGTTTAGACTAGTCAGGTATCCAATATTGTCGGCTTGAATGTTCGAATCCACCTATCACCTCCATTTCTTCTAGCTTTTGCCTTCAAGTTGACGTGTCTGGACAGTATGCACATACAAAACGGACTAGCCATGACAAGATTAGAGCATGTTTCGGACTAGTCTATTTTAGATGCAAGACGTTGCTTGTGAAGACAACTAGTCCTGACTAGCTGCAAATCATTTCAGACTAGTCCAAACGACAGTGCAGACATTTTAGACTAGTCCAGACGGGTACTACGGACAATTTAGACTAGTCATGTCGGACGTCACCCCTTATTTTTTGCTCGCCTGGGATCATTTTCTCTAATTTAATTTACTTGATAAAAGAACATATATAATTTCGCATTGAAAAGATCAATCTAAAACTGAATGTATTTATAATAGAAGATTTAAGAGCTTAAGCTGTTGCGCTTGAAATGGTAAAGTAAAGGTGAACACAAAAGACTTTGATTAATCAGTTTTTTCCCTATTTCTGATCCACCAAGAAAATTTACAAACAACTTCCATAAAAAGTCCAAGTAGGACATGGTTTCTGTATCTATTTTCATAAAAGAGTTCATCGGTTTCAAAAGAAAAATATTTTCTCAAGTCATCAGAATATCTATTTACAATAAATATTGCTTTTTCTTTTTCTTATCATAAGACTTTGACAACTTGACATGGAATATGAGGCATAAGATTTATTTACTATCATGATCTGCAAGCTTCTTGTAAAATTTGTGTCATCAAACATTTGATGATTTAAGTTAATTATTGAGTGAAAACCAAGCATTAATAATGTTCTTTAGCTATTTGTATGCTCGCATAGCAATTTTCATTATTAAATATTGTTAAAATTTAAAAATTAAAACAAAAACAGCATTTTAATAATTGTTTGTCTTACAAGTCAACAGGCTTAGTGGGTTTTTTCGTTTCAAGAGGACAAAAATGAATCATCTATGGTGTTCGTCCATGATCCAATTGCCATTTCTTTAACAACCACGACATTGGGAAAAAACCCATGATCACTGTATAAAATGTCTTTAGATCAGCTGATTTCGAAATGAAATACATGCAAAATCTATTTGACTCTTATTGAGAAACATACAATTCGATATTTACAATCAATATATCAGTGAGTATTTTTACACTGTTTAATGCAACAGATTTATTTAAATAATCTTCATCTTATTTCGATCAATTGTGAATATTACATGGCAATAACATTAATAATCATTATTATTGTTGTCGTTATCATCTTAAGATGTATAAGTTATTTTATTTGGAACAAAAATAAACAGTTGAATATTATTATATCAACTGGTGATGAGGCACATAATATACTAAAATCAAGTGTTTACAGTCGACAGAAACCTAACGAATGGCTTATAGATACTTTGTCTATTGTAAATCCATTCACTATTAATAATGAATCCCTGCTGAAAGCATTTAAAAATAAAGTTATAAAAACATTAGCCAATTGGAATGATGAGAAAAAGTATGGAAGTCTTATTTCAATAATAGAAAATCGAATTAAATATCGACTTTCCTTATTACAATTGGATAATTCAAAATTTTGTTTATCAAAATTAGTCAAACAAGTGACATTAGATTCATTTCTGTCGGCTATTCTTAATGTCAATGCTACCGAAGAACTTCTTACAGAATTACCTGAATTAATTATTTATCTATGGAAAAATCATCATGATAAAAAAGCTCAAGATCGTTTACAAAAATTACTTTTAGCTAATAAAAATGAATTTTCTCAATCGGATATTTGGCAACAAATTCAAACAATATTATCCAATCATTCAAATGTTATTTCAAAAATAGCAATAAATGATTTCGATGAAAAAATTTCTAATCCATTGAATATTATTATTCCAGGATGGGAAACAATGTGGCGAGTTGTATTTTATTCATTACTTGAATTACTTCGTCAACCAAAATTACTTAGTGAATTACGTTCACAATTAAATAATCATTCAAAATCTTATCGAAATTGTCTTTTACTTGAATGGATTTTAAAAGAAACATTACGAGTATATCCACCGACTAAAAATATCTATCGAACAAATGTAGAAACTGGCCAACATGTATGCATTAGTGTTGTACAAATTCATCGTGATGAAAATGTGTGGGGTTTTGATGCACTTAATTTTAATCCTTATCGTTTTAAGAAAAAATTAACTGCTGAACAAGAAAAATCTTATTTGCCATTTTCAATATCTTGTCCAGCTCGATTTAGTTTTGCTTATGCATTTGCTGGTGTAATTGTAGCTGAAATCCTTAAATATTGTCCTAGTTTTAATATAGCTGAAGAATCAGCACCATTACTTACTAATCAATTATTAGATCTGGCTCGTAATTCATATAACGATTTAGTTACAATCATATAATTTTATCGATCAATCATTTATTGTTTTTTTGTTTTTGTATATATTGTGTGCATTAAACTGATAGAAAAATAAAGGATACAAAAAAAAAAGGAAGCTTGTGCGTATCATTTATTGGGAATATCCCATTGAAAACCCAAATGTTTCTTCGTTTCATCCAAGGACTTTTTATCTTGACTACCAGGTTTCTTCTCACCATTTCCATTTGGTGATGTTTCAGTTTTCTTATAAGCATGGTTTAATTGATCAAAACGTTTAATTTCGTCAGCAACAGTCTAAATTAAATTTTTAACTAATTGAAAATTATGTAAATATTTAAGACATACTCGTTTCATTGGATAAGTATTACGACCATTTTCTTCCATATATGATATAACACGTCCTGTATAGTCTTGATATTGTTGTTTTTCGACTTCAGTCATATGTCTATCCAGTTGTACTTCATCCATTTCACTTGCTTTCAAGTCACATTGACGGTCTTTACGTTCTTGCTAAATAATTTTAGAAAAAAAGACATAAATATTAGAATTAATTTTTGAATAATGATTTCGTCAATCATTCAAATCAAGGTTGTTACATGGATGCTACACGATCGATCGCTCCGAATATATTGACAAATATATATATATATCACCAGGCTTTGTTGTATTGAAATCTTGTACAAATCACTGACCATCAACATTCGAATACTTTTGTCTCACTGACAACATAACTTATGTAAAACTTTTTATCTGTTTCTTATTTTAGTAACTAAAGTCAGAAGTGTAATCCGCACATGCAAGATTCTCTCGGTCAAGACTTTTCTTGTGAGCTATACAGAACATAATAAACTCATTAAACACGAATCCGAGTCTAATATAATTTTAATAAAACGAAATAACAACAACAGTCAAACTTGATTATTATTCAAATGGAAAACATTTTCCCTAAAAATAATCGTTATGAGTGTATATTATGAATAGAAAAAAAAATGATTGTTTTTTTCTAATAAATTTTCATTGAGCTTTATCGTAGAGCATTAAAAATGAATCAAAAAAGTAACGTGTTCTAAGTTTTCATCTTTATAGCTACTCTTTTTCTCTTTTTGTAATCGTAAAGATCATTCCTAAACTAGTCTACAGATTTAAACTCAATACGAAA